GTCGGTGAAAAGTTGACAAAAGTTGACTTTGGGGGGTGGCGGGGGGTCCTTATAAAGTTGACGTCAACCACGAGCCTCTCAAAGGTTGGGGAAAAAAGAAAAGAAGAAGGGAAAAGAAAAGAAAGGGACATTTAAAATAAAGATCAAAGGTGTGAATATAAAAGGCATCCTGTACAGGTTCTATCTAAATGCACATTTACATCTTGGTTGACGTCAACTGAAAGGTGGGGGTCCTGGGAAAGATGACAGAAGATGACAGAAGATGACAAGGGGGAATGGGAGTCATTTTCAGCCAAATTTTAGCTCATTTGTGAACGGTCCCTAAAGCTCCCCACCACCCATTCGGCATGGTCCTAGCGGAGACAGACGTTACATTCGGAGGTCTTGCCTCATAGATACCACATTGCAATGTTAAAAAATGCATTAGGCTACTATGATGATCAATTAATTATATATCTATCTCTTTCGCACTATCTTTGTGTATGTCTCTTTCCAAATGTCTCTCTCTCTCTCTCTCTCTCTCTCTCTCTCACTCACTGTCTTACTCTCTCTCTCTCTCTCTCTCTCTCTCACTGTCTTACTCTCTCTCTCCCTCTCTTTCGCTCCCATTCATCCACCCTTTATCTTTCCATCTCCCCCTCTCTCACTCCATTTCACCACCATTTCCAGAGAAAGGTCCACAAGTCTACCAACAGCTGTGCCATACGTTGCAGGGCTGCATGTCCAAGTGGAAACTACAGGAGAAACAGAAAACCTCCAAAACTTTGTTTGCTTGAGTGACGAAAACACACCGACACAATAACGGCATTTAGTGCTGGGTAAAAGTAAAACAGATAAATACACGCAAGCAACAGAGGGAAAGTAAAGAAGTAGAAATTTAACTACAAGTGTCGCTTAAACTTACTTAAAGAAACTTAATTTTCTTTTAGTAAGAGATTAACGGCACTTGCAACACAATAAGGTCATATAAGTGTCGAAGATTAATAAGGTATTACAAGAGAGTAACAAACACAAGAAAGAAGGAGGAGCGTTCAGGACGATATAGGTGTTCGTTAGGAAAGAGGAAGCAAACCATACCAGTACCAGAGCACCCGCCAACCACCCGGCGCAAAAAAAAAAAAGAATCTTCTCAAATCGTCACCTTCTGAGACAAAACAGGAGGAGGAGGTGAACAAACACAAAACACGAAGACTCCTCCGTGGCTTGAAACAGTTCCACTTTATTTTGACAGCTTTGACAAAAATAATAGCCGTGATACTTTGCTGGTGATGAGTCGCTAGGCAGGTCAAGGACATCTGAGGGGTCAAGGACACGATGGGTGGGTGCGTGAGGTTGGGAAAGGGGGGAGGGAGTGAGATTTACACATACAAAATATACATAATATATATAAGTATCTATGTATTTAATATATGCATGTATATGCATATATTAGTGTA